CCAGGCACTGCTGGGATGTGGAAAATCCCACAGGAATGGGGCCAAAAATGATTCCCAGTCCTTGGCAGGAGGGAAAAATGAATCTTTAAGGAATCCAGAGAGGCTGAGCCTCCACCTGAGGTGCAAATCCCAGCAGATTCCCATGAAATCCTGGATAAAATGAGGGGGGAAAAAAAAAGACCCAAAATCGCAGGATTTTGTCTAAAAAAACGAACAAAATGAAGAATATCAGTGGCAGTGCTGTGAATAATGATAAAGGCAGATTGTTGCTGCTGGATAAAGTGAATTTTGTGGGAACACACAAAACTTTTCCAGCCTTTCCTTTTTTTTTTGGACCAACCCCACACTTAAAAATCAACTTTCAAACAAAACCCTTATAAAAAAAAAAGAAAAAAATTCACATTACGCCGCCTTTAATGAGAGAAATCCTGCAAGCTAAGCTGGATTTGATCCCGATTTTTTTTTATTTTTTATTTTTTTTGGGGGGGGGAGGCATGGGAGGAAAAGGAGCTCTGCTCCTTTAAGCTTGGAGAAACTTCTTTAAATTCAGGTGGAGTCAGGATTTCCTGGGCTATAAAGTTGCAGGGAGAGGCAGAGGCAGCAGCTGCTTTGCTCAGATCTTACCCAGCCTCACCATGGTAAGAATATTCAATTTCCAACATTCCCCCACTTTTTATAATTTTTTTTTTTTTTTCCCCCTTCTCAAACGTTCTGAGCTCAAAATTCTCTTTTTTTTTTTTCCTTCTCTTTTTTTCTCCCCGGGGGGATTTGAATTTCCAGCAGTTTGGTTGGAATTTCTGGGTTATTGATTCAGGGTTTGCTCCTTATAAGGGAAAAATGAGGGATGTGCTTGGAATTGTTGGAGTGGCCTCTTGGTGCTTTCTTTTCTTTTTCTTTGCAGCTCCTGAGTTTGGGGTCTGGAAACTTTAGAAAGTTTTTTTAAAAGTTGGGATTTTAATTTTTTTTTTTTTGTGTGTGTTTTTGTGTGTATGTATAAAACCAGCATATTTTTCCTCGACTGAATTATGCATTAAAATTCAAATTTTTAATCCTGCTGCTCCACTTTTCCTAAAATTTTAACACTCTCAGTGTGCTGCAACAAGCACAACCTTTATTTTTTTATTTTTTTTTCCTTAGGAATGAACTGCCATGTTGCCTTTGTCTGCTCTAAACCCTTGGGATTAGATATTAAATGGATAAAAATCCCCCTTTTCCATGTAATTTTTTCATGGAATCCCTGCTCCAAAAAAGTTTGCAGCTGGGAAACTGAAGTGGATTGAGCTGGGAACTTAAAAAAAAAATAAATCTGTGATCTTTATTTTTGGCTGATCCAGCTGAAACTTTTTTGGGAAAGAGGATCCCAACTGGCAATTTTTTTTTTTTTTTTTTT